ACAGTCTGGCAGTTCTTCAAATGTTAAACATAGAATTAGTGTATGACCCAGCATTTTCACTCCTAGGTAAATACCCAAGAGAAATGAAAATATATGTCCACTCAAAAACTTGCATTCAAATGTTCATAGCAGCATTATTTATACTAGCCACAAGTGGAAACAATCCAAATGTCTATCAAATGTTGAACAGATAAGCAAAATGTAGTGTATTTATGTAATATAGCATTCTTTGGCAATAAAAAGTCATGAAGTACTGACACATGCTACTGGATACCTGAGTAAACTGAAAAAACTTTGCTGAGTAAAATAAGCCAGACATCAAAGCCCACACATATTATATGATTTCATTTATATGAAATGTCCGAGCGTGGTGGTGTGCCTATAATCCCAATTACTCAGGAGGCTGAGGGTGAAGATCGCTTGAGCCCAGGAAGTCAAGGCTGCATTGAGCCATGTTCGTGCCACTGCACTCCAGTCTGGGCAACAGAATGAGACCCTGTCTCAACACAAACAAACAAAAAACCGAACAAATGCAGCCTCCTCTGGGAGGCTTTTCTTCATTTCCTGCTTCTATGTTCCTACAACCCTCTGGGCATACATTTCCATCATTTTATAGTGTTTTGAAATTGTAGGTCGTCCCTCCCCACCTTCCCCCCGCCCTCTAAAGAAGATAAGGCCCTTGAAAGTAGACTCATGCTTTTTCCAGCTTTCTATTCTCAGCCTTGTGACTAATGAAGGAAAGGAAGGAGGAAGGAAGGAAGGAGGGAGGGAGCGAGGAAGAAAGGGAGGAAGGAAGAAAGAAAAGGAAGGAAAGAGCGAGGAAGGGAGGGAGGGAGAAAAGGAAGGAAAGAGCAAGGAAGGAAGGCGGGACGGAGCGAGGGAGGAAGGCAGGAAGGAAGGAAGGGAGGGAGAAAAGAAGGAAGGAAAGAGCGAGGAAGGAAGGAAGGAAAGAGCGAGGGAGGGAGGGAGGAAGGAAGCAAAGAAGGAAGGAAGGGAGAGGAAAGGAAGGGTCCCTACTCCAACTTCTTTTACGGAGTAAAAAAGACCTGTAGAGACAGTCATGGCTCATCATTTTCAGGACTGATTGTATCATACTTGGCTCATTTGTTAGAATTCACTTGAAGGAAACGGAGATTTTTTTCTTCGCTCACATTCAGGAGCTATGCTTGCTTATAATGAACTGTCATGATGGAGGCTGGCCCATTTCAGCTCTCTCAGCCCCGTCAAGCTGAACTCACTTCCCCTGAAAGGACAGTGTTTGCATTTGTGTTTACGGGACTGGGAGGAGGATGGGTTTTCAGAAGACCTGAAAACCGAGCCAACCCCCTTTTCCTGCCCCCCTGTGCTGCGATTGGCCCATCCTGGAGGCTGGCTGCAAGAGCCTTTAGTCATCCCAGGGAAATCTTTCTGGAACCCGGCACCAACTTGCGTGTTTGTTTTCATGCTCTTTGTGCGGGGATTAGCTGTCGTGCCGGGCCTGAAAATGCTGCGAGCGCTGGGCGACATCTAATCCAGGATTTGCCTCTGCCTCGCGGTTGATGGAAAACAGATGTCTCACTGCTCTGGGCCTGAGCACAGAATGGAAATGACCGACCAGAGAGCCGTTTGGAGCCGAGGACACCCGGTGAAGGTCCTTCAGAGTCCAGCCAGGAGGCCGACTTTCCTCCTCTGGTCTGTTTTTACTACTTGAGCCGCTCGCTCAGCAAACCGCCTTGGATAAAGCAGTTTCACCTTCAGATCGCCTGGGGCTGCAGAAGCGCGGTTGCCTGGGAGGACAGAGGCGGCGGAGAGGGGCGGGTGCGAAGTCCTGGGTCGCCCGCCCGCCCGCCGCCTGATGTCGTGAGCGAGCGCACCTCTGCCCTGGGTGGGGGCGCAGCGAGGTCCAGGCCCGAGGGGTGAGGCCCAGGCCCCTCCGGAGCGCGCGTTGTCCCCGCGAAGCGAGTCGCCGTCTCGCAGTAAGTCGTGGCTCGGGCTGTGCCCTGGGAACCCTCCCGCCCGGGCAAGGTCCGGTGGCCCGAGCGTGCGGGAAACCTGCCCAGAGTCCGTTTCCGAACGGGCGCTGCGGAGCTGGCTGACGGCCTGGAGCGGGTGCAGTGGATCCGCGCGGCGCGGAGCTGTCAGCAGCAGGGCCGCTGAGCTGCAGAACCTGGACGCGGGGCGGCTCCCAGGCCCTGCCGGCGGAGCTCTCCCGGGAGTCGCGGACCTTTGCCGTCCTCACTCACCCGCGTCATGCAGGATAGCTTTCGAAGTCATTTTGCACCGAGAAAAAAAGATACTGAGCAATCTGAAAGCAGGACTGAAGTAATTTTGAAAAGATCGGCTTCCTCTTTTTCTTTAAAAACATGTTTGGTCATTTTCCTAAAACTACTTTCCTTCCTTTAGCCTCCTCTTTTATCCTCTGCCCCAGCTTGTACTACAGTTCGGGCTTATTAGAGCAGGGAGATGGTGACTTTTGAGGGTTTGCAGGGCTCTTTCTGGTTGGTGTATTTATTCTGGAAATACTTGGCCCGGCCTTGAAAGCTGCATGCCGCTGACAAAGTAGATAAAAGGCTGGGAATGTGGAGGACGGTTGTCTCACTAAATGCCTGTCAGATCCAAAGCATTGTGTGAACCCCAAGTTCGTACCCACCTGTAATCCAACCCCATGGAGAAACTGATGCGTTACACCAGGCCCCTTCGCTTTCCCGCGAAATCACCAGCTTTTAATTTATGGAACAGAGACAGCTTTAGATTCAAAGACTTTTAAGTAGTTAATTTTAGAGCACTTAGAATTCCAGCCATCCAAAGACTAGCCTAGCCCCATAGGGTGTGAGGGGTTGTTTTTGTGGCAGTATGCACATCTATGCCTTTTTTCATTGTTATCTTCTAAAAATTGAGATTAAATTGTACATCAGTATTTTTAGAATGTAGTTAAGGGCTGTTGCCTGACAACTTGTATTGAGGGTTCCTTTCCCAGGGGGTGGGAGGAGGTATTGTGCTGGGTCCACTGCTTCCCAGCTCCACGTGACCTTTCCTCTCAAATTTCCACTTGATTTCATCTTTGGCAGAACTGGTACCTGCCCTTCAGCTCCAAGAAACAAAAGAGCAGGGGTGAGTCAGAAGGCTTTGACTACCTCACCCTTAACTAGAGATAGAAAGTATTTGATTAAATTCTTTATGATACACATTGCATTTCCTTTCCTTTCCAACTTAGGTTCATATAACAATGAAAGGTCAATTAAAATAAACTCCACCTCCCTCTCCCTTAGGGTAAATATGGATTCCCTTAGGGTTGAGTTGGGCAGGGCCATCTACAATAATGAAATGTCTCCTAGGTGAGGTAATCTGGCCTGTTCTGTGCTAGGTAGAGAACACCACATCCCATTTTCCCTCATTAACTCATTCTTTTCCTGGCAGCCTCCCTTTTCTTTCTACCCTTTCCTATATAATCCCATTTAGATACCCACCATAACTCTACTTTGGATCATGGAATCTAGGATACCATCACTGACAAGGTTTGTTTAGGTGACTGTCCCTTATCAGTATTCCCTGAGAACATTTTTCCAATTCCTGCCTTTATTTTCCTGGAAAATTCTATGTCGATTAAATCCTCCACTAGAAATTCCATTGTATCTGTCAAAGATAAGCATCACACCCACATCTTGAATATTTTTCTTGCATCATCATTTTAATTCAGACTTGCATGGCTTCCTGATTTCTACTTCAAATTTAAATACAGATGGAAGGAAGTTGTTATAAGACACTAAATATAAATGGGTTAGAGAGTCTCAATGAGAATTAACATCTTATGCTCTGACCTTTTCTTTGGTCTGTCCTTGAGTTGAATTCTATCCTTTCAATTTCTGATCACTGACTACTCTAGAAAGAGGTTGGATAGTTACTTTGTGTGTCAGGAATGATCTGTTCATTTGGTCTTTTCTGAGCAGCAGTGACTCATTACCTCTCCTCGTGCTGATTGGTAAGAATTTGGCCTATTCAATGATGATAACACAACTGGGTAGCATAGCAAGGCCCTAGGAACCTTTGAAAATGACATCTTAAAGCCCTGAAATCCTGGTGCAATAACATTATCAGAACTTCTTCCTTCTTTCACCACTCCATGAAAAATGACACTGCTTGGTTTATATCAAATATGTCTTGGATGATAAATTCCCAAAGACAGCTTTAGCTTGATTTGTACAGGTACTAAAAGTTTATGCTGGCAGGTCAGCACCTGGCAAATGCTTTTGATGCTGCTACTAGTGATGAAGACAGGAACAATGATGGTTTTCCTTTTTGGTTTCTTGAGAAAAGATTTCCTGCTTAGAATGTCTGTTTGAGAGGCTATTCTGTGAACGTATCTTAAAAGGCTTGAGGCAAATGCTGGCATAATATCATACTTTGTTACCAACATTATTTCTTATACTTTTACATTTTAGACCTTCAGGCTGACCTGTTAGTTGGCACGTCTGAAAAAGTCCATCTTTATTATTTTCTCTGGAAGAAAATGACAGGTCTTTTGAAATGGGTAATATTTGGTTTAAGAATTAAAAGAAATGGCAAGGGCAACCTTTGAGATAAATAGGTAGAGAGGAAATTAAGGGGAGTGAATTTCATGACCTTGAGCCACTATTTACTAGACACTCAGCTTTTATGTCTGGTTGGAGGGTTTAGTGGAAATTCAATCTCAGAAACTGAGCTTTTGTTGGCAAATATTTTGTATTACTAATATGGTCCTTTCCTATGTAACACTATATTATTTTTGCATATCCTGCCTTTGGTTGTTTTTGGTTTTACTTTTTAAAGTTTTTTGGAGACTCTGTCACCCAAACTTCAGTGCAGTGGCATTATCATAGTTCACTGCATCCTCCAACTCCTGGGCTCAAGCTATTCTCCCACCTCAGCCTCCCGAGTTGCTGGGACTACAGGCATGTACCGCCACACCCGACTAATTTTTAAATTTTTTGTAGAAACAGTGGCTCACTATGTTGCCCAAGCTGGCCTCAAGCTCCTGGCCTCAAGCGATCCTCCTGATTTGGCCTCCCAAAGTGCTGGAATTATAGGTGCGAGCCACCATGCCTGGCCTATGTCCTGCCTTTGAATCTCATCTTAATCCTTGAACAGAAATATCCTCTCCCTAGAACTTTCAATATTTTCCTTTTTCATAATATATTGTGTATGTAGATGAAATTCATCCATGAAGAAGGGCTGGCCCAAGAGACTATAATGTGTTCTTGAGTCTAAAAAAAATACCATATATGTCAGCATCTTTATTAATTTAAGACAGTTTAGAAGTGCTCAAATAGAAGCTATAGATACGGGTTTTGCTTCTGTCTTAACTGCAATAAAACAAACTAACCTAAGACACGCTGACTTCTGGAACAAGGGCAATTTGTAGAAATATGCTGCAGGCAGTTGAAGTTCTGAGAGATGAATACCCTATTAAATTGAAATCTCCTCAGTGTAAGTGTTTTTCAGGTTTCAGAATGTCTGCTGTTTGAGGGATGCCTTTTTTAGTTTAATGTAGTCATTGGTCCAACCTAAAATATTAAGAGAGGCACAGCGTTGCTGACCTACTTATCTCCCATGAGGATGAGGACTAGCGTTTTAGGACTCTCATTGCTGACCTTCGGGGATGACGACTTTGAGGACCAGGAAGCAAACAAAATGGAAAGTCTCTCAGATTAAGACTCCTGAAAAGAGAAATCTGATATAAGACCAAAAATGTGAAAGATTAGAACAAGTTTCCTTTTAGAATGTTCTGCCCAATCAGGTAGAAGAAAGGAAAGATAATTTTCAAGCCCATGCTCCAGTCTGTTAGCCAACAAGGATTTATTGAGCAAATACTATGTTCTGAGCCCCCTGCTTATAATCTGGAAAGTACAATAGCCTAAAAGGCAAAGAACAAATCTTGAAGGAATTTTCAAGTCCTGGTGGTTCAGGCATTAGTGAGCATCCTTCTCCCTCCTGTCCACTGAGTTCCTCAAGTCTTTCCTCAGCAAGGAAATCAGCTCTGGCTGTAGTAGAACCCTCTGCAGTGGTTCAGTTACACTTTCTGAGAGAATCAAATTGGCCCCAACCTAAAATTTGTTTCCTTTGGCAGTGAAGGGGTGTCGGTAAAAGGCTCTTTCAACATGACCTGGGTGAAGTGGCATTTGCTACTTAACCCCAAGACTCCTGTTCAGTGCATGGTTCTATTCCTAAAATGTCCTCTCCCCAGCTACCAGACAATTCAACAGCGGCCCTGGGTAGCGCCAAAATAACCCATCATAGAAACACTGCCTGAGGGTAAACAGTAGATAGGCTTGAGCTTTGCCTTAATTAAGAGGATGAGATCGGGTATCTTTAATCGCCAAAATAGCCTCTCAGACTAAACAAAGACAGAACTGTCTCTTTTGCTGACTACATGCAATTTATTTAAATTAGTGTTGCACATTCAATAATAGTGTGGAAGCTGTATTAGAAAACCATCAAATTGAATGAGTTTTCTAGGTCTTTGGTTAGGGATAAAAAGGGCATTAGCCACATTGAATGGGATTTGCATCTCGTTAGCTTGCCTGTATGTCCTTGGCTATTGCACACAAAGGAGGGTGCACGTCTCTCTTCAGCTGGGTAGTCAGCTTTAGTTGTGATTCTGCTGGGAGTTAAAATAGTGAACTAGAGGCATAGGTGGGTGAAGGAGAAGGGCCGGAACTTGTCTGACCACACCCTCCCCCGCTTTTTGTAGTTCAAGATTATAATAGTTTGCCTTAGCAGCAGCAAAAGCTATCTCAGTGTTTAGTACTCTCCTTGGTATTGGCTGTGAACAATCTCCTTGCAGATATGGGGCAGCTGGCTCTCCTTATTGTTCAGCATACGTCCAGGGTTCCCTCCAATGCACTGGATTCTGCTTATGGAAGGCAAAATAATTACCATGTTAGTCTAAGAAAGAGATTATAAAAGTGAACCTCTTATGCAAGGTAAACATTTTGGATATTCCCTTATTTAGTATGACCAATGAGATGTCACCCACAGAAAGTGGATAAAAGGGTACCCAAATGGACCGAAGGCCACAGGATCAGCTACTCTCTATCCATAAACACCCTTGTCAACTGTGTGGCTGCTTCATCTGACACCCTCTCCTTCCAAGTAAGAATCATCCTTGTCACTTCACTTCCTTCACCACCCAAATCCTGGTTATATACTTAGTACTTCCTCAGACCTCTAGAACAGAAATACCCGTGGGTCCTCAGCCACTTTACCCCATGTGTGGGCCTGATGGCGAAGATGAGCTGTCCTGAATAGCTTTAAAAGTAACTCCAGGGAGAAAAACTAAATGTGGCTCACTAAAAGATGACACTTAATCTGTACAGTTTCATAGAGGGTATTCTGGATGTTCGGATCTGGGTTGCTGCAGAAAACGAATGGCAATAACTGGGTATCTTTAGCTTCTCAATCTTAGCTAATAAAGAAGCCAGCAATCAAAACTCAATTCAACAGTTACAGAATATGGTCTCCAGATTCCTGCCATCATTAAACAGAATTATTTCTTACAAAGCTGCTTTCCATTTTATAAAAACAGTGCTTTGTCCATCTGTTGTGGCACACACTCTGTACAGCAAATGAGCCTTCGATGATAAATGCTGTGTTTGGCCCCAGGTCACGCGTCAGTCACAGTCACGTACAATCAAGTGATCATTTATTTAGAGGAAAGATGAGCAGAGGCTAACTGCAGTCTTAGTCTTTTTTGCTCGTTTTTTCCCCTATTTTCCTGCCTTCAAGTCGCAATTAGCCTCTTTGAGTATCCTTTCATTCCTTTTCCCCCCACCAAGTGATGGTCTCAATTATAGTAACCTTCACATATAAGGTTAACCGAGTGACTGAAGGCTAAAATCCACTCAGAGGACCACAACCACCCACTAAACAACATGAAAAAGATCTGGGAGCCTGGAAATGGAGAGGGTGGAGGGGAGAGCAGTGAGGACCGTGTGCCCTGTGCAAAGTGCTGCTTTTTTCTTGTGACATTTACTGTAAAGTCTTCTGCTTAAGCTATAGACCCCTGGAGAAGAAAGTATGTTTTATTCATTTTTAACACAATTTCATTAAAGGACAAAGAATTTCTATTTCTTAGGGATTTCCTCTATAAGTTTTTACTTGTAGAGTAAAACAATACATTGTTTCACTTGTTAGAGTAAAAACATATATTTGTTTCGCTTAAACAAATATTCTGAATTTTTGTTTCATTTTGTCCTGTTTTGTTTTGTTTGAGACAGAGTCTCCCTCGTGTCACCC